CACGCGGTGAAAGTGCATAGAGACGAGGAGAGGCGGCCTCAGAAGCTGTGGGAGAAAGGAATAATTACGGTTTATGACACGGAGTGTCGTAACGGGAAGGATTCCTGGCGCAGCCGTAACGTTTCTTACGCGTCCTTCGTTATCCCGCCTTATATTATAGTTCCGCTTCGTTGTAAATCGTCGGTAGCACTTAGATACGAGCGTCTGGCTTCGCGTTTAATTTTGTACGGAAGAAAGTCATTTCTTTCTGGGGATGCCAACCCCTCCTCGAGTACCGGGGAGTCTCTCCTTTAGACGAAGAATTTCCTTAACGGAAGTATCAAAGGACGAAGCGACACTTTTCCCATTTTGTGCCGCATGTGGCTGTAAACCTCCTGTTAAAATTTAACACGGACGCAGTGGATCCGCACAAGGTTGAGACGTGCCGAAAAATATTTCATCATTTTTTTTCTCGTTTGTCACTTGGTTTTTGAAAAAAGAAACCGCTTATTCTTGATCACCAGCTGTTTACTGCAACTCGAAGTATTCGATATTTCCGTTCTGTTGTATGAGAAGAATTAATTCGCTACGGCCGTATGACCATTGAGAGACTACGCCATATGACGTAGTGAATCTATTGTTAAAGTGTTTAAGTTTGTACAGGAGACAGAAAGATTTCGGTTCGAGAGTCTAGTTTTGGAAGTGCCACCGTCAGAATGTGAGTATACGCGAGAATTGCACGTGGGTTGTTTCAACATGGGGATTCAGAAAGCGAGTGACGTTTTCTAACTTGGGTGAAAACGGGATGAAAATTTTGTACTTTGTATATATAATATTTGAGATACTTGGAACTTTAATGCTGTTACAAAGAGCCGACTACATCACCGCCAGCTTTTAAGTGGCAAACTCGAAACGCGATTGTTAATCGCGCCGGTTTACAGCGAGATTATCGCGACGCGCTTCTTGTTTACGCGTTTTTTTTTATCGCGAAACATTAAGATAAACAAGTAGCCTCGCGCTCGGCGCTTTATCGGGATTTGCAAGAACGGCGCCGGTTAAATTCGATCAACGCCAGGCTTGCCGGGGAAATAATGTAATTCGCGTGCGAATGGAAGTAGGGATTAATCCGCGTTAATCCGGGAATATGCAAAGATTGAGACCTCTCGCAGCATTTGTTTCCTCTGGTGTTACCGAAGTCTTCAACTAAATCTTTTTCTTACTGTGGATATAGTTCTCTGAGAAACGTGAAACGCTATTTTGATTTAGATTTAACGATGTCACGTACGTACACAAATATTTCGCGGCTCTAAAAAAAAGAAATTGTCACAAATCTTTAATACAAGACCATGTATTTTTAGATTAGAAATGTAGACGAAGGTGAATGCGAAGCGCAGTCATCTCAAGACAGCAAGTTCTCGTTTTCCGAGAACTTGTCTTGAAGTTGACCTCGCGATTTTTCAGAACTTTTCGTGACTCGTTCTAATTTTGTCATCGATAATATAATTAAAGAATAAGACGTATTCCGTTCTCTCTCTGTTTATTATCTTGCCTTCACAGCTGGAGATGAGCCAATAAGAGCCAGACCGCAGATGTCGGTGCGTAAATATATTAATGTTGATATGATTGCTTCTGTAACGATCGCCAAATGTTTCGATCAGTTTTGCGGTCTCCTCAGTGACGAACTAAATGAAGGGAACATCGGGATATCCACACTCCGCACGTTTTGTTGATCGTTATCGAAGTAATCGTATATATTACTGGACATAATTAATTATGCATCGATCTGCTATCTTATTGGTCCTCTTCTTTCACTAACGAGGTTTTATGTCGAAGAGTACTTTTTCATTGTCTTTATCTCTTGTCTCATTAAAAATTTATCTTACATTAATAGTCCATTACAACATCAGTTTATTTTTTTTTAATGTGTTATTTCTTGTCTTAACAAAAAAAAGGAATATCTGTTAAAATTAATATTAAAATTAATGCTCAGCTTAAAAAATCTTTGATCAAATTCTTACTGCATTCATTCAGAATGAATACATGTTTATCTCGTTTCATTTTCTCTATACTGCGTTATGAAATAAATATATATTTTTCAAAGTACATAAAATATATAATACATTTGGCGATTTTATTATGATTTATTTTAATAACTTTTACGCAAAAAGAGTAAATTGTTCGTATGAATCATGCAGTAGATAAGCACAGCATGTATTTAATTATTTAATAATGAAACTTGAGCATGATTCTGATAATAGAGATCTGAAAAAGTATGTAAGTATTTATATATTTTTTATGTAGAAGAGAAACAACTGGAAAAGCAGAAAAAATAAGATAAACTTATTTTTTTAAATATATTTCTATATGTTCTCTCTTCTTTACATCTAATATCAACCGCATATAATATTGATCGTATATAAATGTATTTTGTGTATTTTGGAAGATATAGATTTATTTATAATTAATAATGCAGAGAAAAATAAAACAAGAAAAACGACAATAAAATCTTTGATATTTGAATTCATTCTGAATGAATGCAGTAAGAATTTGGTCATCAAACATTTTTTTAAGGTGAGCACTAATAATTGCGTTTGTCACGCTACGGCATACTTTGTAGGATTTAAATATCATAAATAATTCCGTAACGTAGTGCAAACGGAATTCTTGAAAGTTTGTTTAACGCACCCGGCTCGTTGAGCTGCCATGTTGGAACGGTCAGGTAGCCGAGTGCATGATCAGCTGACTTCTCGCGCGCGACAGGCTCCGTCATTTACGAAAACGCGAGCGTTTCTTTCCCTCGGTTTTCGCGATGTTATAAATACAGTAAACTTCACGGATTCCTTTGTCGTCTCGCTGCACGTGAGTCGTTCGTCGTGCGTTTAGACGCGCGCGTGCCGATCGCCGGCTTCCAGGAGTCTCGCTCGTTCAGCGGCGAGAGAGGAACGCGAAGGAAGGTCGTCGAAATGGCGTCGCACAACGACTCGCTGCGGGTGGCGGCGATCGGAGAGTCAATCGAAGTATGTAAGACGGTAGCGAGAGCGCGAGACCGCGCTCGGGAAAATTAAATCCTAAGGTTGGCGCTCGCGGGAGAATCTCGAGTGCGATAAGATGGGTGAATATTACGTCGTAACAGTAATTGTATCGTAACAGCCGAAACGGAATGTCTATACGGATATTTCTATTCGTCTTTTTACGACGGACTCTTTGAACCATATTGGGAGGTTTGCCGTTAGATATTAGTTATCATGTATTTGCTGAAAGTTCGTGTTGAGTTGTCAAAAATGAATCTCGAATCTGCGACATACATATAGCCCAGCTATCCGGGTATAGATAATCGTAATGTAGCGTCCGGTAAAGCTGGCCGGCACGCGCGGCGATTTGAAATTGAAGGGGGATCTATTTATTTCGATATTTTATTTCATGAATTTTCCATTTACTGAAAATGTTACTCCATTCGCTGCACTGTTAAGGCCTATTTTTATAATATATGGTTAACGAAAAGATTAGGTTAACTAAAACTTGAAAGTTAACTAAAACACACTTTCATAAGCTCATAGTCAAATAAACTAAAGATTACATCAGTTGAGTTGGCATCAAGTTAACTTGATGATTAAGTCCTAATAAAACGTCGTTAAACAATAAACTTCTTGATAATTTTTAACCTTTAGGTATTATACATTGTGAAAATGGGCCTAATATAAGCACTCAAGTTTAAATTATAATTCAATAATTACACAAAAAACAAAAGAAACGCAGAAATACAAGTAAATTGTAATTTAAATTTGAAAACTCGATATAAAAATCAATGAAACGATTGTACTTGTTATTACTTGAGATATATTAATCGCATATTGATAATCAGTTATTTCTGCATAATGTTAGGAGTCGGAAATATCTGATCTAGTGGAAATGGTTGTATGAGAGATTTTTCATGCTTTTCTTTCGATTTTTTCGGATTGTCCTTTATATTGGAGCGTCCATTGAATAAGATGCTGAACGATATCTTGTTCTAAAATAGAATAATGAAATAGCGGGGACAATGAAACTCTCTCTGTCAATCTGAAACTTGCCAATTGCCGACTTCATTCACAGAGCATTCGGTCCACGCGCGTTATCCTGAAAGAAAAAAGAAAAAAAAATCCGATCGAAACGAGGGCAATTAAGACCGATTCCCATAAGCTGCCTCTTAATTAGCGGCGCGCTCGGCGTACACATAAAGAAAGGAATTGCTAAACATTTCTGGTTTCCGTTTTTACGTTCGACTCTCTTGGGCTTCAATTCGGATCGCGCGGATAGGTTCGCGAATGGCGTGAACACGTAAATTAAGCTCAATTGCCGGCGGACCGATACCGAAGGATCGTGTGAATAGCTGTAACGAAAAAAAAAAAAAAATCGTTCCGCCAAACAGGCCTTTACTTTCGCGCGCGACGCGCGCTCGCGACGGGAATATTCCGTTTGTTTACGTCAACGGCAGCCTTCGTGCGCGGATTGCGAGCGAGCGAGAAAGAACGGTCGCGAGACAAAGAGAGAGTGAGAAGGGGAGAGGTAGAAGGAGATGGGAGATCCGACTGTCGAGCGACCGTCGACTTGCATTCGGCGCACTTTCACTCGGGCGATACCGATCGGCTGCCGGCGCGCGAGCCAGCGCGATTTCGGCGGCGTTGAATCGTATAGCGCGATTTCGCGCGGCGGATGCGATTAGGCGTGTTGACGCGTCGCCGTCGCCGCGCCGGCGGCAACCGGTGGCCGCGTCGAAATGAAGAAATGAGCGAGCGAGCGCGAGTCGAGGAAACGCATCGCCGCCGCGTCGTATCGCGTCACGTATCGCGTCGCGTCTTCTGCTACTGACCGGTAGAAGGGGGGGGGAGAGGGGATTGACAGGCGGCCATGTTTGGTAGCGGCGGTCGCACGTGTCGACGCGGCCAGTCGCGGCCAGATGGTACACGTGCGCGCACGTGCGTGGCTCGGGAGAGAGAGAGAAAGAGTGACGTGCGCTGACAATCGTCGAATTCTGTCCGCAGGTGTAGGAGAGACGTCCGCGAGGACGGACGGGGCTGAAGATATTCCTCCGAACGTGCCGACGAAGCGACGTCGCTCACGTCGCCGTCGCGACGTCACATCTGGCTGATCGCCGTTGAGACGAGGGAAGCGCGCGAGAAGGAGAGAGAAAAAGAGACAGCAGCTGAAGTTGGGTGAGGTAGGGGACCCACCGTGTGGCGTTCGCGCACGCGTGCTCGCGCAGTCGATCAGTCAACCGGTGGCGAACGTCGCCTGGTTCTTGGAACCTTCTCTCGCTCGCGCGCGCGGGGGCCGCGATCGAGTTATATCCGAGTGCCGAATCGTGTTTGCTGTGCGCTCGCGCGCGCGCGCACGCACGCCGAGTGTCCTTCGCCGCCGAGTTTGTTTACGACCGCGGGTACCCGCCGTCCGCGTTGGAAGTGCCGCCGAGCCGTGCCCCGCGCGCGCCCGACAATCGTGACAATCGTCGCACCCACCGGCGCGCGGCCGTTTACGATCCGGCGAGTGAAAACTGGAGCGAGTGTCTTAACGGACGTTATTACGTAGGTAATACGTATACGTATACGCGGCGCGCGTATGTGCGCGCGAGCTGTGACGCGCGACAGACTTCTCGCGGAACGAGGGAACAGAGAGAAGTTCGCCGGTGACAGCCGCGGGGAAAATAATTCGCCGGAGTGTTAACCGTTGAATTATTGAAGAAGGAGAAGAGGCGGCGGATACCGAGGACTTGCGAAAGAAGATATATACGTCGATACATCCAGACGAGGAGACGACTATAAGAAACCGTCGCTGCAACAAGAAGAGACCGATAAGGAAAGAAGGCGGGCACGATAGCAGGAGGAAGGAGCAAGAGGAAAGATAAGATACCGAGCCCGAGGGAAGAAGAGTGACTATCCTGTTCTCTCGGGTATTCCTCGAGAGACTTTCCGCGTGTTTTTCCGTTCGGGACGGGGAGAGATTGATTTTTCCGCCGAGTCGTTCGTGAGTCGATCATACGCGTTCTGTCCTCCCATCCTCGTCGTCGGCGTCGTGGCGCCTGTTGCTGTCACACACTGCTCGCCGTAACGATGCGTCGCCGGAACGATGCGTCGCGCGTGTAACAATCGCCCAAGGTAAACCGTCGTCCCGGCTACCGGTAATAGATCATCGGTGGTGAATGGGAGAGCTAAACGCAGTGGGATCAGATCGCACGTACAATTAATGCAAAGTGATGCAGTGCCGTAGTATTAGTGACCAGTGCCACGTGCCCGTTGTTTGGATTACTTGAAGATGTCTTTGTCCGGTGGCGGATATTATGACGACAGGAATCCTCTGCTCAAGGGCACCTTATCGAGGTGAGTCTTCATTTTCTTCGAGATCTTTTGAGATCGATGACATCTTAAACTCGACAAGCCTCGAATACTGTCGAAACATTTAAACGGAAAGTTTCCAGTGGTCACCGCGTGAAATCAGTCGGTGAAATCAGTAACATTTTTGAGATTTTTGTTTAACAAGATTATATATATTTGAACACAAGATAAAGAATTATTAAAAATGTACTTAGACTCGTCAAGTTTTACGATATAATGAAATTTTTTATAGATGATAAATGTAAGTACACATTTTATTTGAGCATTTTATTTATTTTTTAAAGAATCTCGAAAATGTTAGATAATGATATTCATATAATATATAATACAATAATGGAATTAAATTAAAAATTAAACAATAAAAAACTTAAATTATTAAATATAAAATTATTAAAAATATTAGTAGAGGAATTTTAAGTCATCATATATAGATTTATATATATATATAGACCTGAGCTTTATTAACTCTCAATGAGTTTTCTCATTGAGAATTTTCATAAATGTTATTTAGCGTAGTAATTTTAGTAGTAGATATAAAAAATCATGACAGTATGATAGCACCATTTGCCGTGCTTAAAATGTTAATTGGTAAAATCCATTAGCAGCTGTTTAACTTTATGAGGTCGTTGATACGTACATCCTCCCTCGATATCTTCAACTTGTTTTCGTATTTATTTTCGAAGCGGAAGAACGCGAGAGATACATTTTATTATTTTCTATTTAAAATGTGCATAAGGAGGAAACGCGCTGTGAAAGAGAGAGGGCGAGAGTTCGCTTCTTGCATTTCGCAGAGTGAAAAGCAAGCACGTTCCCGCCGTATGGGATGTGCAGTTCGAGAGTTAACAAACTAACGGGTCAGCATTCTCGGTGCACGTTTAGTGCGGCTATCTAATATAACAACACCCTTATTTACACGGAATGTACACAGCGTTTCTGTATAAAATTTGAAATAGATAAAGGATAAAGAGACACACATACATACATGCGCGTGTGCACATGCCAGCGCTAAACGAGAACGCGGCGCGAAATGTCAGTGTCATTTGCATGCGCGCCTGTTGAAAATTTTAATTTAAATTCTACCTGAAAATATCCACACATCTCTTTATCACAATTTACTCACGTCGGTTGCGCTATGATCATTCGACCTGTAATAGCGGTAAATCGATGATAACCTTTTCTCATCGATTTTTCAATTGGCGTCGATAACGCCAATCTTTACATCTTTTTACATTCTTTTCGGTTGAACTTACACGATTCGTCTTTTTCTCATTATCTGATGTCCCATTGGAGAAAAAAGATGAATGGTGCAAGAAATAAGGGTAAAAGGAACAGACCTATTGATAGACAACAATGCGATAGAATGCTTTCTTTAATATTATCTGTTATTCGGAAGATAAAATACTTTGTCCTTGTCACAAATAGCGCCAGAAAGCCACAACGAATTTAAATCCGTTACAACGACAGTTTTGTAGGCTGCATTTAGATCATGTCTAGCATTGATTGCATCCGATTTCGTCGAACGATATTTCGGCGCGCGGTTCTTAAAAACGACGGCCTTGATCGACGTGATGCACGACATTGCGTTATGTCGGTGCATTTGCAACCGTTGTCCTTGGCACGGCGCGGCCCTGTTAAATGCAAAATAGCGAATGAAGGGCAGTTCGTGTGCCGATATCCGCGACTTGTGTCTGGTTTACGCACGTATCTCTCTTCTGCACGTGTGCGACTCGTGTGTGCGACAGCCTCGATGCAGCGCGATCGAGGCACGCGTGCACGCGACCTTTAATTTATCTCTCAAATGTCGAAAACGGCGGTGAACATCACTTACAAAACAGAAGAAACATATAAGCAAACGAGGTAATCTCAATTTAATAATGACCAATTATCAAAAGATAGCAGATAAGACAAATACGGATAAGACAAATAGCGAAACGAAAAGTTAAACGATAATAATTATTAAGTTGAATAAAAACAAATTAAAAAATTAAACAATAATAATTAATAATACAAGTAGTAAAAATTAAATTTAAAGCGCGTTAGAATTAAAGAAAAATTCATTTTATTTTTGATGTTTTTATTTATAAAAAGATATCAACTACATTTTCTACGTTCTCTTCGTTCTCATTTGGCCGCAATTCTTTTGCCGATAGCCCGTAGATACGTGCACGTAAGTCTAATGCATCCGTGTAAGTGATGCAAAATGTTTCGTGACTCAATGAATCGTCGCGTAAAGCGCGTGATGATTGCGGTGTATCGCCGCGAGTGTCGGGTTCACGCGTAAGTACGTACATTTCGCATGTCAGCCCCGTTGTTAACGGCGAGATACTCGCGACGATGTGCCGCGCAGTATCAGCCGGCACTTGGAACAATACTCACGTAACGCCCCGTCACGGCTGTCCTCGAATTTCGCAAAATAACATGGAGGCTTTACGCGGTGACTTATATTCAATGTAAACGTAATTAACGGCCGCGCAGCTGGTGGAATAATAATTTCACTGTGTTTGCACGCCTCCCTGGGCTGAAAATATTCAACGCCGCGATATATACCGCCATGGCGGACTCGTTTACAACCATGGATAGACCGTACGTTTCACGTTGGTCCTGATGGACACGCAGAGGTTCAACAGTTGACACACGGTCTATCTGCGGGCAATCGGTTTCAAATCAATTAAAAGAAATATATCGCGGACGAGGCTGTTTTTGCTGTTTGTTAAAAAACTGTCTAGATTAATACCAATTTATAGCGGTTTAATTTAATATTAATAGAATTAATAGAATTCAATGATAATAACGCATTAAATCAATTAATTATCATCAAATGTTTCTATTAGTGAGAACTGCTATCAAATGCTCTCCCACCGTATTAATTTAATCTGAATTAATGACGCTGTTACTATTCAATATTTTGATTTAACGAGATCGGTATGTATAAGAGGATTTTTCGACCGGTGAGTTTTTAACTTTCCCAATGTTAGATAAGTGACATACAACACTGATAATTCCAGCTTGTGTTGAATCCTCAAATCGTCGCGACGCGGAACGAAGAGAAAGTTGGCTCGAGCGTATCCGACCGATAACAATAATAACTCAATAACGAGGCAAGTTCGAGCGAGTTCTATTCGCGATTCCGCCGAAAGAACCGTTTCGAGTGACGCGCCTGTCAATAAGCATCACAGGCGTGGAATTCCTTTCACCGTCGTGCGGTCATCGTTTCGCTTCGGAGGAAGCCCCTTCGGAGAGACGCGACTCTCGCTCGAGCGCGCGACGTAGATCGATTTTTCGCGGCATAATGAATCCGTTAAATATTAATCGAAATATTAATTGCCCCAATTATGATCGGTAATTATCACGGTCTCGTACAACGTATGCGATAGAAAGTTTGATCTTACGATATACCTATATATTTTCTTTTTTATACTTTATATTTTATTTTATTATTTTTTTACATAATTGATCACATATTTCTGATCTAATTTAATTAATGATTACATTATATTTATATAAATTGTATTTCAAGGTCCGATAATAGAGACGCGTTTAATGAACAAGACCATTGTTGGAAACTGAAATAATCTTCTGTTCTGCCAAAAAAAATTAAAAAATTGCTAAATGTTCTTTGCATTTTTCGAAATGTTAAAATTAAATTTGTCTTGAAACAAAATTTTATTGAACTTACAAGTTTAAGATTAGCTAAAAAATAAGGCTTTTGTTGTTTACGCATAAGTATTTTTAAATTAGCAATAATTCGGCCACCATAATAAGAAATTAATATAAGCGATTGCTCGTAATTTATAATCGCTTATAATAATAATTTCTTGTAATTAATTAAACGTACATATAAATTTTGCATTTATGTCAGTTTTACTCGTAGAAAAATCGTTTTTTTATGTAGAAATGTGGAAATAGCATCTAAAATAAATTCCACACGTAGCAGTATATTTTTGTTATTTTTGTGGCTACATTTATATTATATAATACATCAATATTTGAAGTACAGAAAATGTTATTTGTAAATGGTTGATACGTAACAGCTTTCTGTTTGAATTATTCGATTTGTTTGCAATCACATATTCTCAATCGAGAAAGAAAGAGAAGGAAATAATAGTGGATAAATTATATTTTAACCGGCGAAAGCTGGAAAAAGTGCGATGCGAAATGTACATATTTAATTCTAAGTATCGTTAGAGAAATATTTATCTCCCGCAAATATCATGAACAGTTAATTTATAATATCCATTCCCTGTCGCTTTAATTTCTATTTTAAATACATAAATCGTGATAAATATTTGCTTTTCAAGAAATAATCCGCCGATCCGATATGTTTATGACTCAGTTATTGGAGATAATTAATCTTACTAATAATCTTTGAAATAATCATGTTTGATATATTCCTGACAATTGTCGCAATCGCGACGTTTCAATGAATAATAACGTTTGACTAATTACATTTAGACGAAATTAATATGTTTCTACGAAATAAAGTTTCTTCTTTTGAAACGCAAAAATTAGAAAAAATGATACCAATGGATACACATATAATACAGCGATTTTACGTAAATACTATTGCGATAAAAATATAATCTATGAACAAATAGCAGATTTGACGATACTTTTCAAGTGAATCAATTAATTAAACAACCGAATTGCATTAGGAAAAAATTAAATAACTTGCGGTAAAATTTGCGTAAGTATCAGTAATATACCCGTGTATATATACTACTGCTTTCATACATTTATACGTGTTAATCAAATTGCAATATATTTGTCGAGAATCAAGATTCACTTTAACGATATCTCCATTAATCTTCCAAAACCACTCTCGAGCGGAATTAATCATCTTGCATGTAGGATCTGCGAAGCGCCGCTCTCTCAGATCCTACCGCGAGTCCTTTTCGCAGCATCGGCAAGGATCATTGCCGCCACCTTAGATCCCACCGCGATTCATTTCCACGTGCGATATCGACGCGAACTTAAAAAAAATTGGC